CTGAGGGAAGTCAGGGCAGGAACCTAGGGGCAGGAGGAAGGGCTGAAGCTAGCTCAAGCTAGGGTAATTAGTCCCTGGACCTGCAACATTCCAACCTCTCCACACCATTGCATTCTCATCAGCCAATCTCTGCAGAGACGGCTTTTCTCCAGGAATTGTCACTGATAAGGGATCTGCCATGGATTAACTCCAGCGATTTTCCCTATCCTTGTATCACTTGTCCCCAGGGGAACTTTGATGAAAACCCATTTGGTGGCCACTCTGGGAGAATAGTTTCTAGACTTACCTGCCCTCCAAACCAAGGTGAACTGAAGGAGGGCAATCAGAAAATAGAAGGGTTCCATCTTCTCTTTCCTTTTCCTCCTTCCTACCCTTCCCTTCCCCGCCCCTCCTCTCTCTTCAAACCTCCTTCCCCTTTGGAGAGAGTGACTTGCTACATACGTAACATAAATATTTTCTCTTCAAAGGGAGGATCAGGAGAAGTAAGGAAAGATCAGACCAATGCAGGACGGATGACATCACCACACCCCTCCAACCCGGTGGCCTACAGCGTGTACAGCCTCTCTACTGAATGCCTGTAGTTTTCTTTAGCAGATGTCCCGTGTTTCTGGCTCCTCCAACATCCTGGGGGCTCCACTACACCTTTACAATTCCACACACAGTCCACATGGGAGCTCCATGGGAATGTGGCTTTTAGGAATCTTGATGCAAGTCTCCATGACCCCATTACTCTTGGATCTTAGATAGGCAAACCCAGCACCATGTGGACAAGGTCCAGTTCAGCTGCCAGCTCAAGCAGTAGCATGGCCCTTTGGGGCCACAGCTGCAGCAACTTCTGTGTGCCTTCACGCCCGTGTCTGAGAAAACACTTCCCTGGCAGCCATTTTCCAAGAGGGTACCACAAGGCTCACACTTTCTGGCAGTCTCTTTTCCAGTGTGTTCATACTGTTACACACCAGGGCTCTGAAGGTATAGGATCTTACCCTCCAGGCACCTTTCCTCTTGTCCCAGGGCAAGGTCTGAGGTCTCTCCTTAACGGCACTAGTCTGGTTCCAGTCTGTGTGGCAGTTTGAATGAGATGCTCTCCCACAGCCTCATGTACTTGAATGCTGGTCCCCAGTTGGGGCACTGTTTGGGGAGGCTAGGGAGATGTGGCCTTGTTGGTGGAAGTCCATCCCTGGAGGTGGGCTTTGAGAGTTAAAGGACTTGTGCCATTTCTAGTTTGTTCTCTCAGCTTTGTGCCTGTGGTTCAAGATGTTAGCCCTCAGCTTCTCTTCTGTCGCCACACCAGCTGTTTGTTGCCCTCCCTCTGCTCCACCAGCATAGAGCGAGACCCCTCTGAAACCGTGAACTGGGATACACTCTCTGTTGGCTGCTTTCCTTAGTGATGTTTTATCACGGCAACAGAACAGTGACTGGCAAACAGCTCCATCCCCAATGGAGCTGGGTCCATGTTCTCCTCCAGATGCACAAATCTCCATCCCCAGTGGAGCTGGGTCCATGTTCTCATCCAAATGCACACTTCTCCATCCCCAGTGGAGCTGGGTCCATGTTCTCCTCCAAATGCACAATTCTCCCATCTTTCTGCTCCACTTTCTCTTCTCTCACTGTCAAAATTGGTAAACACGGTAAGTAAAAACCACACCACAGCCGTGCCTTGGCCTAGATGTTGCTCTGTCTTGAAATTTCCTCTGCCAGACAACTTTGTCCATTGCTTTTTTTGTTGTCATTGTTTGTTTTTGGATGTTGAGACAGTGTCTCTCTATGTAGCTCTGGTTGTCCTAGAACTCACTCTATAGGCCAGGCTGGCCTCAAACTCTGAGATCTGGCTGCCTCCTGAGTGCTGGGATTAAAGGCATTCACCACTACATTGGTTTGTTCATTGCTTTTCAGTTCAGCCTGACTCAAGTTTTCAGGACACAGGCCACTGGTTCCGTGCCAGAATACAGCACGAACAGCAGAGTCCTCTAGAACCTCGTGTGCCCATGTTTACTGTCCACTTTTCTATGCGCATTCTGGTCTTCTAAACGCCCACTAGAACGAACCATTTCCCTGCTTCTCTATCTACAGGTCCAAATCTTCAACGTTTCTTCTAGAAATCCATTCCAAAGGCCCAAGAACCAAGTGTCAAAACATGGTCCAAGAATGGAGTCATATGAGGAGATTTCTGAGTGCTTGTGAGAAAACTCCAAGATATCAAGAGTCTTGTGACCTCAGTTTCTTAAAACACATGGACTTGTCCTTGGATTGTGCTTCCGTGCCCTTCCCAGTGTGGTGGATAGGAGGGAGTTTACTTCAGATTATTCGTTACAGCTGGCTATTATTTGTTTATATGCTTCTACGGGAAAACATGTTTTTGCCATGTGTGACTTGTCCTTGTGATTGTATGCTTTACTTGTGTGATTTTTTTTTTCTTAACTCTCATTATAAATTGGTCCACTGTATAAAGTTGACTACTGCATGAGACTTTAGTCTGCCTCATTTTCACGGCCGGCTCTCCCAGGTCCCACCACCTCTAGAGCAGTGAACAACCATGTGCTCAGGTTTATCACAGAAACACTCCTCTTCTTGGTGCCAATTTTCTTCATTTGTACTTTTCTCATTGCTGTGACCAAATTCCTGACAAGAAGCAGCTTCTGGGAGGGTTAATTTGGCTCCCAGTTTGGGGATATATAATCCGTCATAGCAGGGAAGACGAGCTAGAAGGCATGGTGGTCTAAGAGTGTGGTAGCCGCTTGCTCACATCGGTGTGCTCACATCGTCGGTGTGCTCACATCGTCGGTGTGCTCACATCAGTGTGCTCACATCAAAGCATAAACAGAAACAGAGGGGCAGAAAGTGGAGCCGAGTCATAGGTCTCAAAGCCCACCTCCCAGAGGCCCACTTCCTCAGCCAGGTCCGACCTCTAATACATTGTTACCACCTCCCAAAACAACATTACAGGCTGAGGAGCAAATGTTCAAACATGTGAGCCTATGGGCAGACATTTTACATCTAAACCATAACATAAAGATTTTACTTCATTGTCTTATATTACTACAGCCCCAGAAATCACATTTAAAACTTTTAGCTAAGATCTCTAACCAGGGGCAGAAGTCATATATGTGGTGATATTTTGTGTATGCTCTAACAAATAAAGCTTGACTGAAGACCAGAGTGCAGCGCTAAGCCACTAGTTAGCCACAGAGGTCAGGCAGTGGTGGCACATGCCTTTAATCCCAGCACTTGGGATCTCATGCCTTTAATCCCAGCACTAGGGAGGTGGAGACAGGAAGTGATATGGCTGGGCAGAGAGAGGAATATAAAACGGGAGGAGACAGGAGCTCAGGGCCCTTTCAGGCTGAAGATTTTGTAGAGGTAAAAGCTCGTGGCTGGCCGGGCGGTGGTGGTGCACGCCTTTAATCCCAGCACTCGGGAGGCAGAGGCAGGCATGTCTTTATAAGTTTGAGACCGGCCTGGTCTATAGAGCGAGATCCAGGAAAGGCACCAATTAGGATTCATACATTGATCTGCACCGCTAGCACCAAGGTATATATTTGGCTTCCAATTCAAGAGATTCACCTGTCGTCACTGATTGGCATGCAAGGAAGGGAATGAGGGTATTGAAGAAACTCACTGTTCTTCTCTCTGGCTGTCTGGACTCTTAAAACAAGGCTCCCCAGGGATGGGCATTCCTCCCAGAAACCTTAAATTGGGAGATGAAAAGCCTGAAGCCCTGGGGGCAATCAGAGGAGGGATTTTCTGTCAGAAAGATTACCATTTGTCAGAGGATTTTGCAAGAGGGACTAGAACTGAGACAATGGGATGGGGACCCCACCGGGGCCAGACTGCTTTAGCTGTGTCTCTTGTCTTCTCTTTAAACCTTGTCCTCATGTTAGGACCCTGAAGATGGACTCGGGTATGGGAGGTGAGTAGGGTAGTATCCTTTGGATTTCTTTTTCCTCTTCCCAAAGCAGCCATATTGAAAAAATTTTCACTATTAGTTTCTCCTGTGATTGGTTTATCAGAGAGCATTGACTAAACCTGGCTTCTTAGGGCACAGCTGTAAACCTCAGTCCTGCAACAATCATGGCAACCTAGATGGGGCAAAAGGTGAGTCTTGGGGTACCCACCATCTGTAGCAGGTTCACCTCAGATTGAGGTGAGCCTGGAAGGTCCCAGCAGCTAATGGAGCCATTTTATTCTACGGACGTTTTTCTGTCTTCCCACTTTAGACAGCACCAGGTTTTTTTGGACTTCTGTTTCTCCCCAGTCAATCTGCCTCAGAAGAGGCAGCATAAAGGATGGAAGGCAGAAAAAGACAGGGATCTGATCTCAACAGACTGAACTGATTACTTCAGACAGCGAAGGACAGACACTTGCTCATGGGAAAGGGGTGCCTCCAAGGGGAAAAAGGATGGAAACTCTTCACGTGGTGGAGTGAGGGGCTCGAGAATGGGAAATTGCTGCAGCCTTCGGGGCTAGGTGCAGTTCTGTAGTCTCCCTTTCCTAAAACTGTCTTCTGCCAAGAAAGACAAGTCGTCTTGGGAGATATTATCTCTGCAAGTAAAGTATTCCTTGTAGGGATGACAGAGGTCATCTAACCTTGTAGGAATCCAATTGGCTTATTCTGACCCTTGAGGTATAAAAGAAGTGGGGTTGGGGGCATCATCTCTACCTTAACTGCTCACAGCTGAGAAGGGTTATATGTGGTGGTGGGGGTGTGTGTGTGTGTGTGTGTGTGTGTGTGTGTGTGTGTGTGCATATCTTGATTCCTCGAGCCCATATATTGTCTCTTCAGGATCATATGGTTCCAGGACTCTGAGGGGTTGGGAGTTCTCAGGAGGAGTTGGGTGACAGTTGAGGAGGTAAGGACTTGTACTCTTTGCTGAAACAGGTAAGAGAGGAACTTTGATACACAAGGACCTAAGATTAGAGTCAGAACTATCATATGTGTGTGTGTGTGTGGGTGGGGGGTTATCTGTTAATCCCACCAGGTGAGAATAAGACCACTACCACAATTTTTGAGCCAAATTCGAAGCAAGCTTTATTAAACGGCCAGGATGATGGACACTGGCCAGGTCCATACCCAAGATTTCCAGAGAATGGCCACAAATTATCTTAGGTTCTTATAAAGGCAAAGCCTATAAGACTATACACTTCTTGCCTTCATCCAGTCAGGGGCAAACATACATCCTGACTTAACTTCATGCCTACATACCTCCCACCAATGTGTGACCAAGCACATCTTGTGCAATTGGGCCAACCAAGCTTGTTTACAGAAATGAAAACACATGGCTTGTTTACATGAACAACAGCCCCCCACATTCCAAGAAGTCATCTGTTCTTGGACAAGTAGGGCTTCTAGGTTGGAGGCATTTTTGTTGTATAGATCTCTTAATCACATTAATTTAAACTTAAAATATAACTTTAGCCTTTACAATCCCTGTTCCCCAAGTGCCTCCAGAAACTTCTCAAGCCTGGTGGGGGTGTATGTGGCCCATGAGTCTATTCTTTTAGCTGTCTGGCATTCTCCCTTAGATACCTGGTAAGTTCAGGTAGAAGCAACATTCCTCCCCTAACATAGGACAGTTCCCTCCCTTCTCTGCCAAACAAGATCTAATCCCCATCCATTTTGTAATGCCATTGCTGCCAGGGAGTCCCACTGAGTCGGGAGCTTTTCAGAGTTGCCCTGTACCAGTGTCATCAGATCTCCTCGTTGGGTGAGTTGGCGATCTTGTACGTGTTAGAGTCCAGCGTCTGGTCTCCCCAGGCCCACAGCCCCTGCTGTGATGACTCCTCATAAGAGTGGAAGTAATACACTGTTCCTTTTGGTTCAGACAGGGGTGGAGTGGTCATTTATTTTAGGAATGACTGTAAGATTGAACTCAGTATACAACCAGGCAGGAACTGACAGAGGAACATGAGAAGAAGTCATTGGGGCACGTGAAACAGGTGCCATCGGGGGCTTTTGAGTTGGAAATTAACCTGGTGCAGTTGGGAGGAGGCCCCACAGACAGCTGTGCCCACACTTTGTACAGGCAGGGCACAGAGGCAGGTCATGGATGTGGAGTTGGTAGCTAAAGGGATCTGAGCTAAGCCTGTGTAACTTGTCTTGTTCTTGGACAAATCCAACAGTCTTTTCCTAGGTCAGGTTGAATTTTAGAGAGCATTTCATGGCTGCTGTTTCTGAGGCAAGCATTTTAAGGAGGGAAGACTTGGGATCAAAGGAATGAGATCTGCTGGCACAGGAGGGAGGAGCTGGGACTCCACGTGTATCCGAGGAACGGATGGGAGCAGGAAGGCTGACAGCTCTCACCTCCAGGCCGTTAGCTACCCAACTGAGGCCAAAATCCCACTTTGTCCAGTTTGTAAGGTTTTTTTTTTTAACTTGATTATATTATTTCTTGATTTTTTTTTCTAGTCTGTGTCCAGCTAGATGTCCAGGGGGTTCTAGCTACTGATGTGATGTGATCATTGGGGGGTAGGGCCCTGCCAGGTACTCGGGGAGACATATTGGAACAAGGTCAGTCCTGCAGAAAGGACTAGCAGGTGTGCCTACAGTCACCAACAGCAGGACTGTGGCCCTAGGGCACAGAGCTACAATGTGGCTTGTTCCCATCAATGAGGGTCATGACAGGACTGGGACAATTAGGTTGTCATTGCCAAGAAGTCATGCACCATCTGAAAAGACACTAAATGGGCTTCCTGCATGCAGGCTGTCTTATTGAGAGCCACAGAAAAGCTGTAGTTTCCTCCCTGGTCCCAGTGTTGTTACCCAGGATTCTGGAACAGGGTGACCTCTCCTTTAAGATTTCAGACATAAGGCCGGGCGGTGGTGGCGCACGCCTTTAATCCCAGCACTCGGGAGGCAGAGCCAGGCGGATCTCTGTGAGTTCGAGGCCAGCCTGGACTACCAAGTGAGTTCCAGGAAAGGCGCAAAGCTACACAGAGAAACCCTGTCTCTAAAAACCAAAAAAAAAAAAAAAAGATTTCAGACATGTTTTGCAGGGGTAGGTCAGAGGTAGGATTGAGAGTAAGAGAAGACAGATTTTATAATTAAAATGGGGTTCTGACGTAGGGACAGCACCAGGTAGCACCTAATGAAACAATAATCAGGTAAAAGATTACCAGGAGCTTCTCCCCACAACCCCAGTCATGGATGGGGATCATCACAGACAGCAGGAGCACCAAGAAAAGCCATAACGTAGCTAAATGATAAGGTCCAGGGGTTTCAGAACGTCACAGAACGGGGCTTAGAGAAGGAAATATAGGCAGATGGAGAAAAACTGGATTTGGTCTGGAGTGTTGGATAAAAGTTCCCTGGAGCCACAAGTCCTCAAGGACATCTGAGGGTAGTCCCAGATGGTGACAGCTTGTGGCTTCCAATTAAGGTCATTCTGGAAGTCCTTTGGGAAGGATGGGACAGAATAAGCATTGGGGTCAGTTCCCTCAGGCTGCTCTGGGACAGAGTGGAGCTGAGTTTTAGTGTATAGGCCCAGTTCTGTCCTGGGACAGAAGGGATCTTATTTTAGTGTTGTAGGCACAGTCGGGACTGCTCTGTATGAGCAGACAGGTCTTTCAAGATGGGACAGGTGTATCCAGGATAAATGGTTTTCTAGTTTAGCATTTGTAGGGATCAGGAAAATAATTTTGTAGGGTCCTGTCCATTTGGGGCCCAGGGTGGGGCGATAGGCCTCTACCAGGTAAATCAGGTCTCCTATCCGGAGGGCTGAGTCTCCCTCTTCAGTGGGGAAAGAGGCCAGGAAAAGGAAGTATGTTCTTTTTCCATAGTGGCTGCCTGAGAAATGATAGGAGTTGAGATGGTATCTGCAGGGGGAGGGAGGAGGAGGTAAATGCCCCAAGGGAGAACACATGACCTCAAAAGGCCTGAGGTGTGTGGATTTGGGGGGAGGGAGCGGATTCTCAAAAGGACTAGAAGAAGCTTTATCCAGTCTAATTTCAGTTCTAGGGAGAGTTTGGTCAGTATTCTTAAGAGGTCAATTAGTTCTTCTCACCTTTCCAGAGGACTGTGGCCGATAAGGGACCTGGAACTTCCAGTGTATGTTAAGAAAAGAAATGAGGTGTTGCAGATAACTGAAGAGAACTCGCTGGACTGAATAGAGGTTGAGAAGCCAAAAGGGGAATTCCCCTGCCAAAAAGGAGAATAATTGCAGAGAGAGGGAGCTGGGTAATGGTGGAGGCTCTTTTGTTGGCAATAGGAAAAAACCTCCACCCACCCTGAGAAAGTATCGATTAGAACCAAGAGATATTTGTGTCCCTTTTCCAGAGAAATATGTGTCAAGCCAACCTGAGGGCTTCTGCCAGCTGCTCGTCTGGTGAGTGGGGAAGGTGATGGCCTAAGGTTAGTTCACAAACAGAAGTCTCAGGTCTGGGAGAGCTATAGAAGGAAAACCTTCTCTTCCTGCCTGGGCCAGACTGGGTATTGTTTGAAGAATGTGAGAGTCTGATTAGCAGGTAGAATAGGGAGTGTGTAGGTAAGAACCTCAGGTGTGTTGGGGGCAGGGAGCTTGAGGTTTAACGTATGTATTACCATTATAGGGTGTGGGGATTAGCTTTCTGTCTCTCCAGGTCCTGGTGGATGAGTGCAGCTTCCCTGGCCAGGTTAGCCACCGTTTATCAGCCAGGGAGATACAGTGTCTATTTTTGATATCCCCTGCAGAGTACCATTGCGACTGGGATGGTGGGCAGCAATACTGCCTCTGGGAGTTTCTGTACGAGTGGCATTGGCACTGGATTAAGAATCCCAGGTCTCCAGACCAGTGTGTTGGAGTGGATGCTGCTGTAGGCATACTTGGAGTCAGCATCGATGTTAATCTGCTTGTCTCTGGCCAGGGTGAAGGCCCTGATGAGAGCTGTCAGACCTGAGAACATGAGGAAAAGACCAGTTCCACAATTTTTGAGCCAAATTTTAAGCAAGCATTAATTAAATACTGGCCAGGATGATGGATTCTGGCCAGAACCATTCCGGGTTTCCCAGAAAATGGCCATGAGTCACATTTTGCAGAAGCTTAAAAAGACAAACCCATAGGCTACCATATTTCCCAACAGGTCCAATCAGGGGCAACCATATACCCTGACGTACTTCATGCCTGCATATCTCTCCCTACATCCAATCAGGCAAGCACACATCTTGACACTTGATCTATTTCCTACCCATAAACCTCCCATCTACATGTGATTAAGCACATCTGGTGCAGTTGGGTCAAACTTATTTAGGGGAGCAGTGAAAACATGTGGTTTATTATCTTCCATAAATAATACTTTCTAGCATTTCAGGAAGTATCTGTCCTTGGGCAAGGGGCTTAAATGTTAGAGACATTTTTGTTTCATGGATCTCTTAGACACAGTAATTAAAATTTAAAACATAACTTTGATTCTCACACTGTCTGTGGAGAGAAGGTGTGGCAGCAAGGGAAGAAACTTGGCCTCAATGAGAGTGTGTGGGGTGGGGGAGTGGGGGTGTCCTTGGATAATGGCATATCCAGCTGCATGTGTGTGGGGGCATTGTTAGAACTGCCATATGAACCAGTTCATGGTATGTGGGATAATCAAGGTATTCAAGGATGTGTGAGAAGGGATTCATGGCGAGACCCAGGATCTCAGAGCGGGGGTGGTATGAGTCAGTGGCTAAAGAGGTGATGGGTAAAGGGTTAAGTGTAGGGGAGATTCAAAGGTGAGGCTGGGGTCCAGAAGAAAAGCATGGAGGATCTGCACCCCAGACGCAGGTAAGGAGAGGAAGGCTTGTTGACTTAGAGATCCCTATGTAACTATAAAGTGTGTAAGTACATGAAGCAGGCTGTGTAGTGAGATTGTGTTAACTTCCAGAATGCGGAACAAAGCCAAGGTTTGTAAGGACAGGGCCAGTGTTTCGACAAATAAGCTATGGGGGAACAGGTATCTCCTGCTGCTTGACAAAGGGCTACTAGAGCTTGCCCTGAGTGGAGTGAAAGAAAGAAAGAAGAATCTGAGGGGTCTGGAAGCTACAGGGTAGAGGCCCAGGACAGGGCACGTTTCAGCTGATCTGTGGAGCTCTGGTAGGACTGCAGAGAGGAGAGGTTCCTCTATGAGACCCTTGGTGGCCTCACAGAGGGGCTCTTCTATGCATGAGAAGTTGGGGATCCAGATATGGGGAAAGTTAAAGAGGCCCAGGAAGGCTATGAAGCCTCCCTGTGTCTTAGGTAAAGGGTATGTGAGAGATGCTGAACCGAAGGAGGCATGGAGAGTCTCCAAGGGAACAGTGGGAGGTGCATACCTGTGCCTTCTCTCTGGACACCCGATAGCCCCGGGAAGCCAGAGCACGAGGAGAGCTGTGGATTGGCAGGGATCTTCCTGGTGGGTTGGGCTGCAGAAGAGAAGATCATTCACATAGTGCAGAAAGAAAGGAGGAAAGTATAGGGAAGACAGATCCTTCTTCAGAGCTTGACCGAAGAAGTGGTGGCTGTCTTGGAAGCCGTGTAGGGCTGTACAAGTGAGTCCCAGGGGAAGGGAGACAGAGTGGGGGAGGAGTAGCAGAAGGTCTTTTACGTTGAAAATGGAAAAATAGGTGGTGCTGGTGGGGATGGACGAAAGGAGAGCACAAGGGTTGGGGACTGTGGCCTCATTAATTTTTCTAAGGTTTTTGGACCAGGCAGAAGGACCCATTAGGTGTTTTTTGTTTGTTTGTTTGTTTTGGTTTTTCGAGGCAGGGTTTCTCTGTGTAGCTTTGCGCCTTTCCTGGAACTCACTTGGTAGTCCAGGCTGGCCTTGAACTCACAGAGATCCGCCTGGCTCTGGCTCTGCCTCCCGAGTGCTGGGATTAAAGGCGTGTGCCACCATCGCCCGGCTCCATTAGGTTTTTTAACTCCCAAGATAAGAGTGTTGTGTGAGGAGTGTGTGGCAACTAGGAGTCCTGCCTGTGGGAGGCAATGAATGAGGGGGTTTTAGGCCTCTATGTATTTGGGATTGGGAGTGTTGCTGTGTAGGAGAAAGGGTCTTTCAGAGAGACAAGGACAAGAGAGTGATGACAGGCTATGGGAGGATTAGCAGTGTCCCATACCCTAGGGTAAACAGAGGGTAGCACAGATAAGAGGGCGTTGTAGCAGACAATGGCCAGCTGCCTGAGTCTGGTTCCATGGTTAAGAGAAAGATGGAGGTCGTTTCTAAGTGGGGGTAATGTGAATAGAGGCTTTAAATTTGGTGAGCAGGTCTCATCATAGGAAGAGTAGGGGCGCAATTTGCCATAATTATGAATATATGTTAGAGATAAGGACCCAAATTGACAGGGGAGTAGAAGCGTGCTTCTGTGTCATATGGGGACCCCAGATACTCTGGTAATTGTAAAAGGGGAAGGGAATCTTTCTCCCTGCCATTCAGTTAGCAGAGAAGAGCAAGCCACTGTGTCCAGGACAAAAGAGACTTATTGTTTCTATCACCCAGCATTCAGAGGAGCCAGCAGATGCTCCAGCTAGGGGTATATGTTATAGCCTAAAATAAAGAGAAACGACAGGTTTGTGAAAAGGAGCTGATACAAATTTACCCTGAGAAGGAACTGTTAGGATAGAGAGCCTCATAACCACTGTGGATGGGGTGGGTGGTCAGGTTTAAAGAGAGCGAGCATTAGAAGAGAGAGCGCATCTTACATCTTACATAAGCAGCAGGGTGGGGCCTTGAAGGGAGAGAGGCTTCTAAATCCTGAGAACAAAGGGGATGGGCACACTTTGTGTCACATTGTTAGATCGTGGGCCTATCCCTTTAAGACTCCAGTCACTCTAAATCAATGGTTCTCAGCCTTCCTAATGCTGCGACCCTTTAATACATGTTCACGATGTTACCCCCTAACCATAAAATTATTTTGTTGCTGCTCTGTAACTGGAATTTTGCTACTGCTATGGATCATAATGTAAATATCTGTGTTTTCCAATGGTCTTAGACGACCCTGTAATAGTCATTTGACCTCCAAAGGGGTTGTGACCCACAGGTTGAGAACCACACTATAAGTGGTCAGATCCCACAGCCTGAGAAAATCAGCCATGCCCCTCTGTAGCACTCTCTATCCCGCTCTCTTTCTGGGACAGGGAGTCAAGGACCCATCTGTGCTTTGAATCTTACCCAGCATCTGACTCTTCCATCTTGTCATGTAGACTATCTCAGACTAAATCACACTGTGTGGAACTTCCTGCCACCCCCTAAAAGGATAAAGTCAAATATTTTCAGCTGTTCTGAGGACTTTTTGGCAGGCTCTCTTTTGTGGCTCCTTCCCCATCATCTGTCTAAGGAAGTCACTGCTTTTACTTTAAGCAGTTTTTTTTCTTTTTCTAATTATTATAATTTTCCTTGTATTCATGTGTATGTATGTGTGCCTTGTGAGTTTATGTGTAGCACACATGTGCAAATGTCCATGGAGGCCAGTTGTGAGCTGCCTGATTAGGGTGCTGGGAATCAAACTCAGGTCCTCTGCAGGAGCAGTATATGCTTTTACCTACTGAAATCTCTCTCCAGGTCCCATTCTAAGATCTTCACAAGAGAAAGATGACCACCCCAACCACTTCTGCTTGACACAAAACTAGAAGTTGCACCAAGAGCAATCAGATGGGAAAAAGGCATTAAAATCAGAATATAACTATTAACCATTTGCAGATAGCATGATTGAAAACTAGAATTAACAAACGTTTTCAGTAAAATTGAAACATACAGAATCAGTTGGGGTTTTGTGGTAGTGGTGGGTTTTTTGGGTTTTTTTGTTTGTTTGTTTGTTTTAAACACAGGGTCAAAGTTCTTTGTTTTTATTTAATGTGTTTGGGTATTTTCCTGCATGTATGTCTGTATATTATGTGTGCCTGGTGCCTGTGGAGGCAAGGAGTCAGATCCCCTAAAACTGGGGTTACAGACAGTTGTGAGTCACTGTATTAGTGCTAGGAATCAAACCCAGATCCTCGGGAGAGCAGCCAGTGCTCTTAACCACTAAGCCATCTCTCCAGCCTCAGGGTCAAAGTTTTGACACAGTCTGGCTTCAAAGTCCTGGTCCTTCTGCCACTACCTCCAAAGTGTTGGATTCCAGATGTGGGCCACCACTTCTGGATCAGTTGCTTTTCTTTGTACCAGGAACAATCTGTATGAAAGAGAAGAAAAACAAAACACTGAAATAGTATAAAAATAATGAAATAGGTAGGGATAAATTTAGTTAAGGAATTAAAGATCTGTATCCTGGAAACTAGAAAACACTGATAAAATTGAAAAAGTCACAAATATTTCATGCTTATGGACTTGGATATAATGGATTTAAAGCACACTGTTCAAACATAAGTAGATAAACACAGTCCCTATCAAAATTCCAATGACATTTTTGCACAGAAACTGAAAGCAATTTTAATAATGGAAGCAGAGAAGACTCCTCCAAAAGCCAAAACAATTTTCAAACAGAAAACAAAACAAAATAAAACAAAACAAATAAGAGGTATCACGTTTCTTTTATTTTTATTTCATGTGTATGGATGTCTGTGCACCACTTGTGTGCCCGGTACCCCCAAGGCTAGAAGAGGGCATCAGATTCCCTGTAACTGGAGTTACAGATGGTTGTGAGCTGCTGTGTGGGTGCTGGGAACTGAACTTGGGTGATCCGGAAGATCAGCAGGTACTCATGGTCACTGAGCCATCATTCCAACCCCAAGATTTCCTGTTTCTTGATTTCAAGCGATATTACAAAGCTACTGTAACCTTTGGACTGCTAGGACAAAACACTGCTCAGTGGACAGAACACAGAGCACCGAGACAAGCCAAAGACTGCAAGCAAATGCTAGCATACTGTTTGCTTACTGCACTTTACAGATCTTTATTTTTTAGACAGGGTCTAACACAGCCCACTGCAGGTTGACTTGGAATTCACTATGTAGCCTTGCATGGATTAGAGTTCACAGCAATCTTTCTGTCTCAGACTCCTGAGTGCTAGGATTACATGTGTGAGTCACTATGCTTTAATGTTTATTATCTGTATGTGTAATATGTGCACACATGTGCAAGTGTATGCACCTGTGTGTGGGTACAGAGCCCAGAGAATATGAAAGGGAGGAGTCCTGCTCCATCACTCTCCACCTTATACTTGAGACAGGGTCTCCCACAAAAAGTGGAGCTAGTCGAGCAGCCAGTGTGCCCGAGTAACTCTCTCTTCCCCTCCACAGTGCTGCTGTTACAGGCACTTGCAGCCACGCCCTGCGTTCACAGGATGCTCATACAGCAAGCACTCTTCCCCAGTCATCTCCCTGTGCCCCACCCCTGATATTTTCTTTAGAAATGGAAGATTGGAGGCTGAGATGATGACTGGGTCAGTGAAGTGACTGCTGCACAAGCATGAGGAACTGCATTTGGATCCCCAGCACCCACATGACAGCCAGGTGTAGTGGCTCACATCTGTAACCCCAGCACCCACACGAAAGCCAGGTGTGGTGGCTCACATCTGTAACCCTAGCACTTGGGCCACAAAGACAAGTACACCCTGGGCACTCATTGACCAGTCAGCTCCAAAAAGGGTAACTTCTGGATGCAGTGAGAGATTGTCTAAAAAAATAAGGATGGTCAGTAAGAAGACACTCAATGCCTACCTGTGGCTTCCACAGATGCACATGCATGGGCAAGTGTACTGACACCCTCACATACACACATGTATTAACATATAAACAACACACAGGCAAGTGAACACATATATACATGTTCATGTGTACGCACATATATACAACACACACACACTGAAGATTCGTTGCAACCCTGTGATGAATGTGGACATCTTTTGTCAAATGTTGGTAGTTCTTGCAATATTTCAAACTTTCAATATAACTATGTGTTAGGGTGATCTGTGATCTCCACAAGCCATACCCACACAAGATGGCAGGAACATGCACGTGCTGTAACCGCTCCATTACCTGGCCATTCTTTTCTGTCTTCTTCATCCTATTCTGAGACAACATTATAATAAGATCAATTAGCAGCTCACAGTGGCCTTTGGGTGGTCAAGTGAAAGGAATTTAATGCATTTCTCTAAGTAAATAAAAAAACTAGAACTGATTGAAGTTCAGATGAAAACAGCCACACAGACTAAAAGTTAGAACGCCAGTGGCTAACCAGACTGTACAATATGAGGAAATGTTCCTCTAGTAAGAGGTGGGAAAGCTGCTTAAGAGAAGGCTAAAGCCAGCAGAGGTGGGATCAGGAGGTTTAAAATCCAAGTCCAAAACAAAGGCACACCGGGCAGTGGTGGCACGCTAAAGAATCCCAGCAGTCCTGAGGCAAAGGCAGGTGGATCTCTGAGTTCGAGGGCAGCCTGGTCTACAGACTGAGTACCAGGACAGCCATGGCTACACAGAGAAACCTTTTCTCAAAAAGCAAAAACAAAAACAAAGGCACAAAGTGAGTGCAGCAGCTAGGGAGAAGAGCTAGCTAAAATCACAGATGAAGGTAGCTACAATACACTGATTTTTCCATGTAGTAATAAACAGCCTTATATTGCAAAATGCTGTCTAGGACTTTCATATATCTACAGACATCAATGCTTGACTTCAAAGTTCCAAAAGATCTGCTTGCTGACACTGGGGGGCAATATAACTGGGAACTACATTTAAGGCAATGCTCATTATCATTCTGAAAAAATTCTGTAAGAAATACATTATAGGCAGACAGTTCTCTCTTGCCTGCCAATTCCTGAATAACCACCCAGAGGCTTAATATTAATTATAAATGCTTGACCAGTAGCTCAGACTTATTACTAACTAGTTCTTAAACTTAAATTAACCCATAATTCTTATCTATGTTTAGCCACATGGCTTGGTTACCTTTTCTCAGTACAACATTCTCATCTTGCTTCCTCTGCATCAGGCTGGGGATTCCTGACTCTGCCCTTCTCCTTCCCAGCATTCTCAGTTTGGCTTTCTCGTCTAAATTCCAGCCCAGCTACTAGCCAAACAGCATTTTATTAAGCCAATTCAAGTGACAAATCTTTACAGTGTACAAGAGGATTATTCCACAGCAATACATAATGGGTCTACCGTGTACTATGGAAATAAAACAAGGCCTAGATGACATTGTTTACAGCATGATATTCTGAATCTTTTGAGCTCACTGTTGAAATCTAATGCTCAGTATCACTGCTCATCTGACAATGCATAAGAGTGACAATAAAAATGTGCAAGATGACTGTTTACTTGACTGTTCTCACATCCACTTTACAGAACAGAGATTAGGAGCAAGTGTGACTTTCAAGTAACAGGAAGTTTTGCAAGGTGCTAGAGTTGTGGATTCCACTGGATTCGATTCAGATGCCATTAAGATCCATGGGAGGTAGTTAAAGTATCAGGAAGAATTTGAGAGAAGCTGATTCCAACTTTCATAGTTGACTTGAAGCAGAACTTATGATGTGAGTGAATTACTACAACAACAAGGTAAGATTATGGTAGGGGCTGGAGAGACATCTCACCTGTTAGGAGTGCTGGCTCCTCTTTCAGAGGACAAGGGTTCAGTTCCCAGCACCCACATCTGGTGGCTCATCACCACTTGTAACCCCAGCTCCAGGGGATCTAACCTCTAGTCTCTATGGACACCTGAACACATGTGGTATTAACTCACACAGACATGCACATAAATAAGTCTTTTTTAAAAAATGTGATAGTTGTTTCTTAAAAATAAGCAAGTGGTTACCTGAAATGGAATCTACCACAGGTGAAGATGCTCTCAACAGAGTTAAAACAGATTTCCATGGGGGCTAAAGAGAGCCTGATGGTTAAGAGCACTTGTTGCATAAGTGGAGGACTTGAGTTTCATTCCCAGCACCCACATGGTGGCTCACAACCATCTGCAACTCCAGTTCTAGGGGATCCTTATGCCCTCTTCTGGCCTCTGGGGGTACCAAATATTCACAGTGTGCACATACATACATGCAGATAAAATACTCATACACATAAAATGAAAATAAAATCTTGGGCTGGAGAGATGGCTCAGTGGTTAAGAGCACTGACTGCTCTTCCAAAGGTCCTGAGTTCAATTCCCAGCAACCACATGGTGGCTCACAACCATCTGTAATGAGATCTGGTGCCCTCTTCTGGCCTGCAGGGACACATGCAGGCAGAATACTGTATACATAATAAATAAATAAATCTTTAAAAAAAAAGAAAATAAAATCTTTAAGAGTGGTTGGGGAACTGGAGAGATGGTTCCGAGTGTTTAAGAGCACCTAATGAGCTTGCAGAGGATCCCGTGTCCTAGCCTCCTTGGCACCTACACCCATGTACACATACCCATACACAAATACACGTAATTAAAAATATTTTTTAATTCAAATATGTGTCGGTTGATATAGTAGCAGCATCTGAGAGCACTGATTCCAATTTTTAAAGAAAGTCTATCGTGAGTAAAATGCTGAAGTAAAAATCCATGCTGCCCCAACTTGAGTAAACACAATTATGACCAGTCAGCAGTCACCAACATCAAGGCAAGGTCCTCTACCAATGAAGATGACTTGCTGAAGTCTCAAATGATCATTAGCACTTTCTAGCAATAAAGCATTTGTAGATTAAGGAACTTTTTCTTGGGTTTTTGTTTTTGGGTTTTTGTTTGTTTGTTTGTTTTTTGGTGTGTGTGTGCTTGAGACTGGGTCTCACTATGTAGCTCTGGCTAATGTGGAACTCACTATATAGACCAGGCTAGCCTCAACTCACAGAGATCCACCTGCTTCTGCCTCTGGAGTGAAAGGGATTAAAAGTGTGCTCCACCACATCTGGCACATATTTTTGACATAATGCTATTGGTACATTTAGACTACAATAACATGAAAACTATTTTTATATAGACTGGGGGGGTTGGGGATTTAGCTCAGTGGTAGAGTGCTTGCCTAGCAAGCACAAGGCCCTGGGTTCGACCCTCAGCTCCAAAAAAATAAATAAATAATAGACTGGGAAACAAAGATGTGATTTGCTTTATTTCAATATTCACTTTGCTGCTATAGTCTGGAACTACACCTCTAAGGCATGTTATGATTTCCAACAAGCCACCAAAAAAAAAAAAATACAGTGGAAAAAGACAGATCCTTCAGTACATGAAGCAGAGAAAACTGGATAGCCACATCCAAAG